AATATGCCATTAGCCTTCTTGACAACAAGGGCACACTACTGACTCATATCCAGCTTCTTGTCCACTGTAATCCCCAGGTCCTTTTCTGCAGAACTGCTGCTTAGCCAGTCGGTCCCCAGCTTGTAGTGGTGCATGGGAATCTTCCTTCCTAAGTGCAGGACTCTGCACTTGTCCTTGTTGAACCTCATCAGATTTCTTTTGGCCCAATCCTCCACTTTGTCTAGGTCACTCTGGACCCTATCCCTACCCTCCAGCATATCTACCTCTCCCCCCAGCTTAGTGTCATCTGCGAATTTGCTGAGGGTTCAATTCATCCCATCATCCAGATCATAATAAAGATGTGGAACAAAACACTTCTCTTTGATATCTTCTTGGTGCAAGGAACCGTACTTTTGTCTCTTTAGTTCAATGGTCCCTCTCCAGGCAATATAACTGTTACCCACCTAAGTTCAAAGTGGGGCCATTGCTTTAGCAGCTGAGGGTCCACTATATCCTTAGCTATTGCCACTTGATCATAAGCTTGTCTTAGTGTCTGATCATCTCTCTGTTCCCTTATGAAATCTGCCTCTCTGATTAGGAGCTCTCCAATCAATGGGTGTGGGTTCTGAGTAGTCTTTGGGGAAGGGGCAGGGCCTCTCACCTGGTGGGAGGTCCCTTTCCTGGGGTCCTCTGTTTCATCCAATCACATCAGTTCCTTTGGCCTCCAGGAGCACGGTGGTCCCCACAAGTAGGTGATTGTTCCACTCTTTTAGAATTTCCATAAGTATTTCCAGTCTCTGCCCAGGATTACAGGGTAGAAACTAGTCTTACAAAGAGGTTCCCCGTATATTTCTTTCAAAAAATCAGACTTAGTGGGGTGGGGTCATATATCTCCATGTACACACCGGAGAAAGACAGTTTGTCCAGGGGAGCCCTCCTTGCTCACCAGCTGACCTCTGATCAAAGTCTGGCTGAACCCTAAGTCAACTAGCCCACGCTTCTCTACCCCCTTGACCTTCACTGGGACCATTATTTTAGATGGGCCTCATTTTTAGGCCCCAGTGTCAGCTGTCTAAGATTGTCCATAGTCATATTCCATAAAGGGACAGTCGTAGCAGAAGTGACCTTGTTGCCCACATGGAAAAACGGCTTTCCCCAGTGGGGGCGGTTTAGAATTGAGAATAGAATAGAATATTAGGGTTGGGAGGGACCTCAGGAGGTCATCTAGTCCAACCCCCTCCTCAAAGCAGGACCAATCCCCAGACAGATTTTTGCCCCGATCCCTAAATGGATTGAACTCACAACCCTGGGTTTTGCAGGCCAATGCTCAAACCACTGAGCGGTTAGTCACCAGGGGGGAATTTGGTCTTCGGAGTTGACACCTTCTGTGGGTTTAGATATTCTCCAGGTTTCCATTCCTGGTTGAGCCATGGTCCTGTGGCCTTGCTGTACTCTCTGGCCATTGGTAACACTATGTCTGAGCCACAGATCCAGTCAGGCCTGCCTCCTTATCTAGCCTATGCCTTGGGATGGGCTGGTCCCCTAATCCCAGCATAACTACTCCTCAGTGTCTCAGAAGGGGAGTAGTGGGGGCAAAAGTCATATCTGGCTTCAAGACTAAGCTTGATACGTTTGTGGAGGGGATGGTATGATGGGATAGCCTAATTTTGGCAATTAATTGGTCTTTGATTATTAGCAGGTAAATATGCCCAATGGTCTGTGACGGGATGTTAGATGGGGTGGGATCTGAGTTACTACAGAGAATTCTTTCCTAGGTGCTGGCTGGTGAGTCTTGCCCACATGCTCAGGGTTTAACTGATCGCCATATTTGGGTTCGGGAAGGAATTTTCCTCCAGAGCAGATTGGCAGAGGCCCTGGAGGTTTTTTGCCTTCCTCTGCACCGTGGGGCACGGGGCACGGGTCACTTGCTGGAGGATTCTCTGCACCTTGAGGTCTTTAAACCACGATTTGAGGACTTCAATAACTCAGGCTTAGGTTAGGGATTTGTTACAGGAGTGGGTGGGTGAGATTCTGTGGCCTGCATTGTGCAGGAGGTCAGACTAGATGATCATAATGGTCCCTTCTGACCTTAAAGTCTGTGAGTCTATGAGAAGTGGGTCTGGTGGCAACTATTTAATTGTCCATTAAATTTCAACTTTGGCCAAAGTCTCAGATTAACGCTTCAACCCCGAGTCATTCCCCCCAGCTGGGAGGATCTGTGTAAACTGTTCTATTGCCACCCACGCTGGCACCTGTATCCCAGCTCATGTCTCAGGTTGGAGTGAGCAGCAGCTGTGTTCCTTGAGTTTCTGGGCTACCACCTGGAGCCAGTCCCCTGATGAATATTTCTCTCAGTGGGAATGACTATGTGTAACGGGGTTCACTCATCACTGTGGTGCCTCCTGTTGGCTGTCTTGGGAATTAGCTCTGCATGTTAGTGTGCCCTCTTCAGGTGGTCCCTCACTGCTGTCTCTCCTGCTCTAGGACCAACATCTCTCCAAGGACTGCATCATCCTCTTCAGCAACATAGCCCTCTGGCCATGCCACACACTGTGCTCCTCCCTTCTGGGGGACCTGCAGTCCACTATTTGGCCACTTCCCTTAGTGACTACTGCAGTGTTTGGCCACTTCCTCGTGGCCCTAGCATCCTCTTTGCCCTTGCCTCAGGTCCTCAGCCTGCAAAACCCGAGCAGCCAGCCAGGAGCTGTCTCCCACTTCCCTGGTTCCTGCTAGCAGCACTGCTCTGTCCAGGGTGCTGCCAGTTCTCTCATCCCTCCAGAGCCACAGTCCTTCCTCCCTGGGCTCCCAGCAGAGAACTGCCTTCCTCTGCCCCGCAGCTCCCTTTTTATATGGAGCTCCTTCTCTCTCTCTTCTCTCCCTCCCTTTAACAGAGCCTGCCCATGTTCTCCACCAGTTGTAAACGGAACACTCAGCACCAGTGCTGCCTAGTGGTCAGGCAGGGGTGCAGCAGGTTGTCCTCCTCCCTGATGCCCCCCTTTTCAGTTACAATTCTGTCTTTTGGGGTCTGTCCCTTCTTTTGTGGCTCAGCCCCACTGGCTGGGTTACATGTTCCAGGCCATCCATTTTGGGATATCCCAAAAGAAAGTCCAATCACAGAGAATTCTTTCAGCATCCAGAGGGCTTCAGGGCTTTCACCAGAGTTCAGGAACTGTGAGTCTGGCTTTTGAACAGTCAGGGTCTTGCCTAGATGGATTCTCCACCCAGGTAAAGGCTCCTATTGTTGTCACGTCTTGTGGAGTTTGTAGGGGAGCCTGAGCCCATCCTTTCCACCAGGCTCTGATCCAGAGCCTAATGGTAGGCAGCTAAATTCTGCACCTTGGGGTGCTAAGCAGTTGCCTGCCAGGATCACTTTCTACCTAAGTCCCCTTTTCCCCCACAGGGTAAATTAAAGAATCACAAATAAAGTTTCTGACCTTCACAATCAATCACCAGTCTCTCCTTTGCATGCTTTATCAGGTCTGTGTTGCAGGTCTCAGGCAATGAGAGCTTCTGGGCTGTATTTCCCCAGAGCTCAGAGCAGAGGGTCTGTTCCCTTCCATTGCCTGCCTCCTCTCAGCAGCTCTGCTTCCCATTTTAATCTCCACCTCCAGCTAGCACAGGCTTTGCAGATGGGGCAGGGCAGGGCCACCTGGGCCCAGAAGTACTCTTTAACCCCTTGTTGTCCAGTGTGGGGTTTGTATCACCATCACAGGCAGATGCTCAACATGGAAAATTTTAACCCAAGTAGTTAAAGTTTTGCAAGGTATAAGTAACTGAAAACAGGATCCTATAATGGAAAGTGTCAGGCAATGTGAATAATAGGCAGTGCTACCTGCACTACCTCTAATTCCCCTTAGGAAAACACCATCAACATCAAACTAGTTTCTGTAATTTATTTAAATAATCTTTTACCACATTGCTCTGGCTGGCAAGGAGAATGAAGTGAGGAGCATTTTCATGCTGTCAAATGTACGAATATCTGATAAGTTTATCGATAATTCTGGATTTTCTGGGTACTATTTGTTGTTTCTAAATTACCCAATGTTCTAGTGAGGCACTTTATCCTTAAATCACTGATATATACTCTCACCTTTAACTGCAGCTTAATAACATTCTTTTTTGGAAATTGTTATCACTGAGACTCTCAGATCTTTCAGAGCATTAGTCTCCTCTTAATGCATAGGAATTTATGCTGTTCCATGATGAAATTCTTATGAAGTTATAGAAGAAGGATTTCTAGTGAGGGAATCTGTTAGGGACTGATTCTGTTCCCTTTATTTGCAATGAATATGTCTCACTCCACAAGTAACCCCACTGAAATCTGTGGCACTGCACATGAAATAAGGTACTGCTCATTGTGACATGGAGGGTGGCAGAACTGGCCCCTTAATGAGAAGCCTGGTTGCAGTTGCTGACAAGATTTCAAAGGGCTAGACTGTGGCCAGCACCTACATGGACACAAAGTGGTGAAGTCAGGATTAAGAGAACTCTCCTTTGCACAATCCAGTCACCCACCAAGCAGAAGGGCTGTTCCCCTCTAGGAACTGTTCTTCCAAAAGTGTGTGGGAGAAATGTGGTGGTGATGTCAGAGGCATAGCTCCGCTGGCTGGCTGTGCTGAGGAGAGTATGCTGCATGTCTCACAAGGGGAGTTTCAGATTATTTCCCCATGCAAGAGGCGCACTCAGTGACGCTACCTGCCTCTTTGAGCCATAATGCTCCCTGGTGCTTACCCTGGGGCAGTGCAGCTCTGTACATCTCACAATGTAAGGCTGTGGTTGGCTAAAAGCCACAATTTAGCCCAAAAGAATTTAGTCCTACCATGGATTAGGCCACATATATAATAGGCTAATAAAGGATGGATTTGGTTGTTTCTCAGACAAAAAATATGTTTTTCCTTCTCCCTTGTCACTAAGAAATCACAGAAGCAGCAGCAATGGTGGGTTTTCGGGTTGTGGGTTTTTTAAAGTTTTCATGATGTCACTTTGTCTCTCCCCTGCCTCCATTCTCACCCAAACTGCAGAACTCAACCTGGAAGGGAATTATCTACATCGCCTGCCTGAAGAGATGAGAACCCTGTTACATCTGAAGGTCATCAACCTGTCCAGGAACAAGTTTCGACACTTTCCTGAGCAGTTGACTACCTTGAAGGGTCTTGAAACCATCAACCTTGAAGAGAATGAGATTACAGGTAACCTAACAGGAGAGTGTGTGAGAATCAAGTGCCTTTATGTTTGATAACAATAAACTAGCTGACAGCTCATGGACAGCATTTTGTTTTGTAATAGTTTTCCTCATGTTTTTTATTAAGAGAGTTTGAATCAGAACAGGATTTTGTTTCTTAAATAATTATCTGCTACCTACTCCAGCAGTTTGTCTGGCATCAAGTCACAGGTCTCATTTTGTTTCATCATAATCATCTCCAAAGCAACCAAATGTCACGCCACATACAGAGGATTATGGGCCAAATACAGACACAGTAAAAGCACATGCATCTATTGAAATTAGACACGGAGCTGTCCCGGCTTATATTATGTTTGAGCTAGTTAAGGTAACTGGCTCTATGCGTAAGCAACAGAAGCAGATGAAAGCTTAATAACAAAGATCTGATTTACTGGCAGAGGACTTTGTGATAAATGACAAAGATATCACTACAACTCACAGCGACTCCTTTTAAAACTGGACAGTTCAACTGAATGGAATGGTATAACTTAGAGTTATCAATTTAATACTATTCTGTTTCATATTTATTGTGTGTACCAGCACTTCTAAGTCTAAAGGCTTTCAGCATTAAAGAGTTCATAGTAGGCCAAAATTTGATGTACCATTTTTGTTTTCTTTGTAGCAATGGTTCTCAACATTTTCCCTACTGCATGATCCCATGCTACATCAGAAAAAAATGTTGGGACACCTTCTCCAGCTACAGAGAAAAGGAGGGTGTAGAAGGCAATGGAAACTACTGACTTCCAAGTTGCTTAAGAAATGTCCTATTTTTTTAAGTGTTAACGTAAGGGTGGTTGAACAAGCTGTTAAATTTATTAAAATAAATCAGCATTGTGGAATGTACTTTACAACAGCTTTGACAGTCTAATTTCCAGTACTATCAAATGGCAAAGTAATTTTTCCCCTCAAACTGCCTATCCTGCTGGGAAATATCATTTAATGGCAGTCCTCACATAACTCTTGTATGTACATAATTCAGCCTAGAACATTTCTCTTTTCACTTAACAACCTTTTCCTTTTTTGCCAAACCCTTCTTTGTTTCACCTGCATTTCTCACCTCCTTCCACAAGTGGCTCCACTGAGATTTTTAGGTTTAGATTTTCAAAGCCAATTAAGGGACACGGATAGCCAATTCCTAATAGGTATCCAAATCCCCTAGGCAGCTTTGAAAAACGTCATCTTAATGTCTTTCCTCCCTTTTCGTTTTGCCACAGTGTTCTGAAGATTTCCGTATTTTCTGTCAGCCCTGGAATGGGGAGATAGGATTTTCTCCCTCACTGCCCCTTTTGACAAGGAGTGACTTTGATGAGTTCTGGAGCAAGCCACTGCCGGCCCCTCTGTTGGAGTGAAAGTTGCTATAATTTGAGGTCTTCAAGGTAGAATAAAATGGGGGAACTGATGGCTCTGTGAGCCCTCCAGAGAATGACTGGACTCCCTCTACAAAGTGTCTGGTGATGCTCTGCATTAAAGGGTATTATGTAAGAGCAGATTCTGTTATATACTGTCTCTCTGACTTATCACAGCACATTAAACTTATATAGTAATAAATACTGAGCCATGATGGAGAAATAAAGAAATTAATTAACCAAGTAGACAAGGTGCATGAGGTAATATCTTCTATTGGACCAATTTCTGCTGGTGAGAGAGACAAGTGTTCAAGCTTACGGAGAGCTCTTCTTCAGGTCAAATTAACTAGGTGGCATTTGTAACTGATTAAAAACACTTGTAGCCCTGAGGAGTGGTCCTGTGCTCCACACTTCACCTATCAAAGAGCTATAACTTCAAGGATCTTCTGCTGAAGTAAATTACCCGAGTTACATGTTGCTAAAGGAATCTGTGCCCTTTAAACATGCCAGACTTCATTTTCACATATGCGCAGTCTCCCAGCTTCAATGCCTTTTTGTGCTCAATTGTGCTAAATGTTCTCCAATTACAATCTCTGCAGCCAGATAAGGAGAAGCATTGAAAAGCTCCAATTGTCCTATCATCTCTGGGTCTAATAAGAATGTGGAGTCTCTGGGAAGAGGAACAGGGAGCAACTCAGTTTAGTGACCTCTCAGCAGTGCAGCTAATCATGTGATGTGCAGTTTCTTAAAGCTTTTCTTTCTTTCTGGCAAGCCCTAGCATCCTGTGATAACTCACTATATTAGATGAACATCCAACCTGGCCAGGGAGCCAGTAAGTTCAGTTGTTTTCAGACAATCGGCTTTTTCTGCCTTGAAAGCTTCACAAGTAAGCAGCCTAGGTAGGGTACCTTACAATAAGTGCAAGGGATGCTAGAAACCTGCCATTTCACTGATCCTGTCTGTAACGAAATTAATCAGTAGGTTTCTGTTAGGACATGTGCTCTATGCAAGGCAGTTAAGATGGATAGCGAAAATTACAGTTTATGCTTTGTTTCCCCCCATGTTTTGCACGTGGTTTATTTTAATTGGATTTTAGCTTTGACCCAATAAAATCCTTTTCTGGTCGCTCTGGTAAGGTAGCACAGAGCAAGAGAGACTGGGTAAAAGATAATACCCTTTTCATTTGATCACACTAGACAAAACCTCTCTGGGAAGGAAGGATCAATTGTACACTATAAGGCACTGATAATTGGCCCAGTTAGAGTATTTAGGCTGCTGGCCAGACAGTAAGCCAATTAAAAGCTTGCCCTGATACACAAATAGCTGCTAAAGAGAAGCCTGTTTTGAAAGGGGATGGTGGGAGACAATGTCTGAAATTGCTTATAAGAAAGGAAGGCAAGAGAATAACTCCTTCCTCCTCCTCTTCCTACCAATTATAGGAGGGAAAAAGATCATTGCAGAGGTTTTTTTCCTTGTTGCTTGTTTGACTCAGATTCAGAGTGTGATAATGGTGCCAAGTTCTGAATCCCTTCAGAGTTATTTTCCACACTTCTCACATCAGAAATTCATTTTTTCATGTGAGCTTTCTTATATGCACGTACTGTACTGCAATAATACAAGAAGAAATAGCAGAAGTCTATTTTTTTAAAGAAAATTGTATATGGTTTGAGTAATGTTTTTGGCAGTACGAGATTAAACTGCAAAAAAGAGAACCCTGTTGTGTGAAAACACAATTTAAAAGAAGGTTGGAAACCTATTCTACTTTAACTAATAGTTCTGTTTTTTTTCACTATGCTTTAAGTTAGCTGGCACACCAGAAAACTAAGGGTTTGTGTAGAGGGGGAGGTTTTGTTGTTTTTTCATATTAAACTGCCTTGTGTCCAAATGATACAATTTTTTTTTTTAATTATCTGGTGACTGTCTGTGAATTGGATAGTCTGGTATGAAAGCGGATTAAATCCATTTTGAGCTGAGTTAGTCTAGAAAAAAGCTTTGCGAGGATGCATTTGTATTTCAGATTAACTTTTTCACTTCTGGCAGTCCTCTGACTTCTATCTCACACCCCGTTGTCTCACAGCTGGATTGACCTGTCTGTTTACCTGTATGCCTTCTGTTGCTCTGGGGCCCTATTGACTGGATATTATCTCCCCATTTAAATGCTGGGCATGCACCTAGGTATCCCGCATTTGTGAGTACATGTTCCTGGAGTCAGATATCCTTCTCAGCATTATAAGAGCCATGTCTCGTGTTTCTGCATGGAGCCATGCAGAGATCTTGAATCCCCTTGAGATCTGGGAAGAGGAGACCAGGGCCGGCTCCAGTGTTTTTGCCGCCCCAAGTGGTGGGGGGGGGGAGGGAGAAAAAGCCGTTCGTTCTTTGGCGGCAATTCGGCGGCAGGTCCTTCCCTCTGAGAGGGACAGAGGGACCCGCCGCCGAAGAGCCAGACATGCCGCCCCTCTCCGTTGGCCGCCCCAAGCACCTGCTTGCTGCCCTGGTGCCTGGAGCTGGCCCTGGAGGAGACAGTCCAATCCTGCCTTAAAAGCACCCACTAGAATGCCAAGATATAACAGGATATATCAATGCTGCTGACAGAGATGGGTCACTCCTCGGACAAGTTGCAGTGGTGCAGCAAAGGAAAGGTGCTCTGGCAGAATTATAAAAAAAACAAGGACAGCACCAAGACCACTGGCAACACTGCAAGTTCCTGCCCCTACTATTGTGAGCTGGACTGGATTATGGCCAAGGAGGCTACTACCAAACCCAAGTATTTCCTGGAGAGCATCGATGGCACCCAAGAGATCGTGGCTCTTGAGCCCCAACAGGATTCAAGGATGGAGGAGATTCCCAGAAAGTCTGGATGTCTTCCCTATGCAAGAGCCTGAGGGGGAGAGAATGTTGGGGGTTGGTCCCAGAACCCAGGCAAACACCCAGCATGAGAATGCTGGGGAGAAGACCTCTCCTGCCAGTATTACATGCTTTGCTGCAGTACAACTGCATAGGGGAGTAGAAACAACTTTTGTTCTGGGGACCCCAAGGCCACTGTCGACTTGGACAGATGTGAGCTGGGAGCCTTTCTGAGCCTGCTTGGCTTTTATTTCTCCATGCCCACCCTGCCACATGCTCAAAATGGTTCCCACTGCAGAGAATTTAATCTTCACTGATGTTATTTCTCTGAAATATGAAATCCCACAGGTATCAGCCAAACTGCCACCCCCACACCCAATTTCCGGTGCTGCTTATCATTCTTTCTCTCTCTCTCTCTCCCCTGGATGACCAATGCTCCCCGCTCCCTCCCCCATCCAATCCCATCCCATCCCATCCACACTCAAGCTAGCAGCACCATAGGGGTTAAAAATCAAATACATTGTAGTGCAGGCATGTTTATTGAAACAGCAGCTACTGACAGAGAAAAGGCAATACAAATATTTTGCTTCACAGTTTAAGCAATTCCCCGAGCTGTTGGCTACCTTAGCATTTAGAAAGTGAGACATTTCAAAAATGCATCATGATTATAAAGCGTTTATGGATATTTTCAGTCAGACTCTCAGGGCTTGTCTACACTTGAAACGCTACAGCAGCACAGCTATTTCAATATGGATTTCACTATAGATGGTCACTACAG